GTTCAGCCCGGTGACCAGCTTGAATGGGACCAGGCAGGCAGGGCAGCCTGGCCATTACCCAACTACACAGCAGAGGATGTCCCCCACCCCCACAACCTGTTTTCAAAGAAGCAGAGTCCATGCCTCTATGGTGCTTACTCACTAGCCTCAGCTGCCCTCAGAATACACTTCAACCCAGGCTGAAAGTTCTCCATCCCATCTTCTGCTTAGTTCTCTCCTGAGTCCTCTTCCCTGTCAGGCCATGTGCTCCCTGCCCCCAGCATTATAAATGTAAATTTCAGTAGCCAGCTTGGTCAAAATGTTTGGAGCTAGGATTCTGGTTGTCTGTCTGTAGCTTCAATTCCACATGAATATTCATTCTCCCGGCTATCTGCTCACACCAGCTCCCTGCACACCTCACCCACTATGGGCATCATTTACCTGCTGGTCACACCCACTCAGTGACAGCTTTACTCTTTTCCTCTCCATTGTACAAATTTAGTCACACCTAGCTGCACACGCTAGTTTGCAACAATCGGTTGCAGGAATGCAGCGGCACACACCCAGTCCCACGCTCTGTTTCCATCAATCAGCTGCACATGCTCAGTTTCTCAGTTGCACATACTCGATGCCACACTCAGGAACGTGCCCTTGCTAGTCTCCATGCAGCCTACCACACACACACCCGCAGCCCCAAATCCCAGAACTGGCAGCTGTTAAGAGAAGACAGGGTGATTTGCAGACAGCAGCCCTGGACTTGGAAGTGCAGATGTGGTGCCCCAGGAAAACTCAAGGTGGGAATTCTCCTCCCTCCAGGGTGCTGGCCCCCAGGAACTCCCACCTTCCTTTGCTCCAGTCCCTGAGCCTGTCCTCTAGGGGATTCAGCCTGTGGACACACCCAGGGGTCAGATTCCAAGCTCCTCAAGACCTGTCAGTGTCTGCCAGGGACCTCCACTCCACGCAGTCCAGTACAGTGATGCAGCCATTTCCCATACACCTCTTCACATACCTACAACCTACCCACCACTACCCAGTACACCCAGTTCTACTCTCCTTCATTCCCACCCACCTCAAAGCCACATGTACTTCATTTCACATCAGCAGCCTCCTGCTAGCTAACCTTCCTGACCCCAGCCTATTCAGGTTCTCTGTTCCTTCCACATGTCTTGTAACCCCTGACCTTACCTACCTTGCCCCCTTATCTGGCTGCCCTCTCTATGTCTCCCAGGCTTTCTATGGCGCCCTCTCAGATGAATGCGTTTGGGGAGCATATGTATTGGCCCCACAAATCACTTTCTGGGCTCCAAGAGGGGCTAGCTGTTGCGGATGGGAAGCCAAGCTTAGGTGCCTCTGGGTTCAGGTGACTGGAAAAGCCAGGGTGGGGTGAGTGGACTTCCCTGGACTTGGCGGCTCAGAGGGATGGGGAGGAGGGTCCCCGCGGCGACGGGCAGGGGCGGAGGGGAGGCGCGCGGCCCCAGCCCGTCCCTTTCAGGGGGGACTCATGCATCAAACTTCAATTTTCCGGACGATTGAATTAGTGATTTTTTTTCTCCTGATCTAAAATACACTTAAGTCTTTGGGATTAATTACCACGTTCTGGTCCCTCAGACTGGAGTATTACTTATCAGAGCTGCGTCTGACACCGGTCCGACACCTCGTAAAATAAGGAACTGCGCCTCCCGGCCTCACCCCGCGCCGCCCGCTAGGCCACCGAGCCGGGAAAGGAGGAGCGAGGGGAAGCCGAACTAGCGGGATCGGCAGTCCGCGCGCGCCGAGGGGTCCCCAGACTGGAGAGCAGAAACCGCCCGAGTCCCGGGACTTGGCAAGCCCCGCCTAGCCCCGGGACACAACCGGGAAAAGAGAGACAAAGTCAAGCCGCCTCTCCTGGTCAGCCGGGAACCAACAGTGGGTCCGCAGAGATCCCAGAGTTTTGGGGGAACAGATCGGCAAATGGCTCTAGGCGGTGATGGAACTCGGGCCCAAAGAGCAGGCGCCTAGAGGATCCCAAGCCTTAACGAGCTATGCCCATAGACTGGGCGTAGGGCCCACAGCCCCTCACACAACCCACGCCACGCTCACTCGCACACTCAGATCAAGAGAAGAAACAGACACGCAATGCACAAACCCGGCTCCTTTGGAGCTCACACGTGGGCGAACACACCACCAACAGCCGTATTCCGAGACAGGCCTGACAGGGGCGGGCTAAGAGTCCTTGGGCTCGCACGTGGGTTTTGAGACCCTCTGGCATCGCGGGTCCCAGCGGCAGCGCCGGAGGCACAGCCAAGGCCGTCCGAGGACGCGCAGGTAGCAGACTTCTTCAGAACTGGGGGAGCTAAGTAGAGAGTGGGCTTAGAGCCCTGGCCTCCTTGGATTCCAGACCCTCGCCTCCGCCTACAGCCAAGCCCCTCCGCCATTCCCTAGGGCTGCTGTCTTCCTCGCAGCCTCTCTGCGCAATAGGGCCCAGAGATAAGTCCCAAGCCCAGGTGCTATTCCAGGCAGAGTCGGGCCTTAACAGAGCGGAAGCCCACCGGGAACCTGATGGAGGCAGCGAATCCCTCAGAACAGAGAACACTGCGGAGTGGCTCAAATCCACTTCCCACATCGTGCGGGACGGAGCCCGCAGGGCGCTCTCGCGTGGCCTCTTTAGCTCGGGTTCAGCCGAGGCTCCCACGTACACTTCGTTCCCCCTTCCCTCCGCCGCAGCTCTGGTCCTTCCTTCCGCTGGCCCTCTTTTCTGGCCTATGGAAACAACGAATTACATCTAGCCTTTCGAGGCCCGGGTCCCAAGCCACCTCCTCCGTGAAGCCCCCAACACCCTGGTAGCCACCTCTCAGTGTTTTGCAACTGGCACGGCGTTATCCCTCGGTCCGCTTCTCCTGCTAGCGCTGGGGGTGCTTCGGGTCTTGCCCACTAGACTAGGAGCTCCTTGAGGGCAGGAAGCGGATCTGATTCGTTTCAATTTTCCCAGCCCCCTGCGCGGCCTGGCGCAGAAAACACTCGCAATAAACATTTGCTGAACTGAATTGCGTTTTCTCCTTATTTTATTAATCCTTCCCCTTCCTTCTTTCATTCTTTCTTTTCCTCCTTCCTTCCTCCCTCGTTATTTTTTATTTCTTGGTTATATTCAATTGTCATGTTTTTCAGGCTCATTAAATCCATTTAGAGACAAAAGAATAAAAGGCAGAAGGGGAAGGGCGGGGGAGGAAAGAGGGGGAGGGGAGGAGAGGGGGGAGGCCAGAGAAGCAAACAAATAACCCGCTTTAACTAGACGGGCGGATAAATGGCCCCGTTTCTCCTCAGCCCCGTTGCGCCTGCTTAGCTGCGCGCCCCGCGGGCGCCGCAGTTCGGGTGGGCTCAGCCCTGGGGCCGCCCCCCTCCCCAGCCCGAAGGGACCCAGTGGGGCCCGGCCCAGGGCCGCGAAGCAGGGAGCGGCCGGAGGTGCCAGGGCCGCTTCATTGGGATTCATGAGCGTGTTGGGCGGGCGGCCCCGGGCTCCGGGCGCTGGGCGGGGGCCGGGTGGGGGGGGGCGCACGGCGGGCGCAGATGCCCGGGTGACCGCCCCGCCGCGGTCCCTGCGCCGCCTTTGTGCCGAGGAGGCGCGCGCGGGGACCTAATCCATCAAATTGTCTACAAATTGTGAAGAAAATTCAAAAACCATATGGTCGCCAGCGCCGGCGCGCTCTGGGCTGCGGAGGGCCGCGGCCGTGCCCGCACCGGGAGCCGCGGGGGGCTGGGCCCGGCTATTGTCGCCTGTCAGCGGCCGCCCGGGCCCATTCGTCCCGGCCTTCATGGTCCGCGCTGCGAATTACAGACCCATCCATCCTAAGAGAGGGCGATTTTTGTCGCCCGGGAGGAACCGGCCGCACGCCCGCCCCGCTGCCCTGCCGCCTCCTTCCTTTTCTGCTCCTTCTCTCTCTTCTCCTCTCTTCCCATTATTTTTTCTCCCTCTGTCACTGTCTCCCTTTCTCCGTTTCTCTGTTTCTTTCTCTCTGTCCTGACTCTGTGGCTCTTCGCTTTCTCTCTCTGCTTTTGGAGTGTCTTTCTGCGCTCCTATTTTTTTTTTTTTTTTTTCTGTTTCTCTCTGTCTCTTCGTTTCCTCCTGGACACGCACGTTCCTGGCTCGGGCCTGGGGGCCCCATTGCCCGCCCGAGACCAGATGCGCATTTCTCACATCAATTTTGCGGAGAAAGAGAGCCCAGCGGCCCGGAGGCGGGACCCCACTCCGGTGACAGCGGCCACTCGCCAACCCAGCGACAACAAAAGCCCGGAGAGAATCCTGCTCTGTCCGGGAAAGTGAAAGCGGCCTTGGGGCGCCGCAGACCCGAGAGAGTGCTTGCAAGATCCAATCCTCTGCCCCCAGCAGAATGCGGGGGGGGGGGGGGGGGTGGGAGCAGAATTTGTTAATGTTGCCAGAAATTCACCCCAGCTCCCAGACGCTTGGGCTTACATTTCCAGGTGCCCACATTCGCAATTCAGCTTGGCCTTGATGCCTTTGGCCTCTCGCCCCCTACTCCCCAAGGAGGAGGCCCTCGGGGCTGGAACCGAAACTTGGGAGCCCGAAGGCTCCACCCCTTGTCTAACTGAGTGATACCTGCAGTGCTCCCGCGGCTCAGCCTGTTTATCAGGGAGCGCAGGGAAAATGCCTGTGCGTCTGGGGTGGGATGCAAGAACTGTAGGGCAAGTTCACCCCTCTCACCCTTTGTTCAACGCAAATTAACGTTGTACTATGGTGTGCCTTCCCACACACAGGCATTTTCTCCCAGCATTTCACGGCTCGCTTTTTACCCCGACCTGGCGAAGCCCGCATCTCTCCCGATTTAGTAGCTGCCTCGGGTTTAAGGGCAGAAGCGCCTCCTCCTGCTGCTCCCCCCTCCCCTCACTCTAAAGCCTGCCCTGAAAATCCCCCCAAACCTCCAAGGCTGGGGCGACCGGCGAGAAGCAGCGGCAAGAAGCCCAGCCTGCCGCTGCTCCTCGGAAAAGGGCCGCTCACTCAAACACGGTCGCCGCCGGTTCTAGTAAAATGGCAAAGACTTTATTTATTGGAGAAAGAGGCCTTGGGTACAGTCTGGGGAGGAGAGGGCAAGGAAGGAACAGGGAAGGGGCGCTCGAAACCCACCCTCATCTGGCCACCCTCCTCGGGCCAAGTCGAGCTAGGAGTGGGGTGTTCAAGGTGTCAAGAGACACCCAGAGCTGCGGAGGAGATGGGGTGAGGGCTTGGGTCGGCCTCCCTCTCTGTCTCTGTCACATGCAAAAAAATTCTATAAAGAGTACAAAATAATTATAGGGCTTTGGGTTCTGTTTTCGGTGGTTGGTTGGTTGGATTTCCCCCTGCATTGTCCCTAAGAGCCGGACTCCAACAGTCAGTCCGAGGAAATGCAGAGGGAGGGAAGAATCTTAAAAATAGAATTAGTGGGCATTAGGAGGCAGAAATGGCATTGAAAACAGACTTCTCTCTCAGAGGGTGGGGAGGAAAGATCGATTTTGAAACTTGCAAGTCAGGACCCGGCTGCCCCCCTCATCCCCTTCCCACTCAAGGAAAAAAGGCAGGAGGAAACAGAAGTCAACTGCAATAGGCCGAGGGAGGCGAGGAGAGAGTGGGCCGGTGCATTCGCCACATGCAGAGAAAAATCGAAACAGCCGGAGCTGCCCGTCCTCTAGACTGCAGGGTCAGTGTTCGCAGCCCTGGGTTCTGCCTCGCCTTCAGCAATCCCGGCAGCCCGAGAGCTTTGAAAACATCGAAATCTCCGAGATTTAAAAAATAAAAATAAAAGAAAAAAAATCAGGCTGCGGTGGGAAGAACCCGCTATATAGGTTTAAATATTTATACAGAAGCCATACAGAATTGCACGGCGAGGGCTTCCGGGGCGGCGAAGGCCGCTGGCTGCAGCCGGCCCGGCCGGCCAGCCCAGGTTTATTGCTTCGTGAGGGCAGAGGCGGCTGCCAGGAACTGAGTCCGGGGCCGGGGACAGGGGAGGAGGCGGGAGTTGGCAGAGGAGGTCCCAGCTCCCCTTGGCGGTCCGGTCCGGGAGGTGGTGGGCTTTCGGGCGCTAGGAACCCAGGGCAGCGGAAGACCTGGAGTGCCGCTCAATCGTCCACGTCGATCTCTTCGTCTTCCTCGTCCTCCGAGCAGTCCTGGCTGCTGGCCGGCTGGTCCGTGAGCGGAGAGGCAGGCGAGAGCTGCAGGGGGCCAGCGCCCGGGGCCTGCGGGGCGCCTGGGGGGAGGACCGGAGAGCCCGGCCTCGATTTGGCCCTGCCGCAGCCGCCGCCACCGCCGGCTGTGGCCTCCGAGTTCTGCTCGAGTTCGGCCAGCGCCACGATGTCCATCTGCCCGCTGGGGCCCAGTTTCTTGGCGGACTCTACGTCGGCCTTCATCTCCTCCAGGTCCCGCTTGAGCTTAGCGCGCCGATTCTGGAACCAGGTGATAACTTGCGCATTGGTGAGGCCCAGCTGTTGCGCGATTTGGTCGCGATCGGCGGGGGACAGGTATTTCTGGTACAGAAAGCGTTTTTCCAATTCATAGATCTGGTGATTGGTGAAGGCCGTGCGCGACTTTCGCCGCTTCTTAGGGGTCTGCCGCTGCCCAAAGATGGTCATCCCGTCGCGGCCTGGGAGGAAAGGACAGTGTAGGCTCGCGTCGGGAGAGAGGAAGCCCCACCCTGGCTCTTCCCCCCATAACTCCGTACCCCACCCAGGCCTGTCTGGCCTGCAGTCTACCAATGTTCCCTTCTCAGATTTAATTCGGCCTCCAGGACCAGGGCAAGCCTTGGCTACGGCAAACCTTCTGTCTTTGGTCTCCCAGAAGTCCCTAGGAAAAATTGTTTTGGTCTCTGTCCACTACCTAAGAGTTGGTCGGAAAGACCTAAAGTCTCTGAGAGTATGAGAAAGCCAGACAGGGACACCTTAATTGCGATGTGAATGTTGGTTCTCCATCCCTTCCCAATCATTTAAACCTGCCCTACCCAGAAGGTCCCAGCAAAAGACTCGATTCCCCACGCCGAGTAACTGGGCTAAGAGCTCCCAGGACACAGGGAATGCAAGGGAGCCCGGCAAAGCACGCAGACTGTGGAGAGAGGTTGGGTTCCCACCACCCCTCTCCGGCCACCCCCCAACTCTGGCCTACCCAGAGGCCCCTAGGAATTAAGAACTGGGTTCCGTCCCACCTATCTTCACTCCCATAAGCAGCTGCTCAGGCTAGAAGGCCCTGGTGGCCGGAGCGGGCAGAGGCGAGCAGAGGCATAGGGCACGAAGCGCTCAGGGCACAGGGCGCCAGGCGCTGGGTGCAGGGGAACCCAGCAGCTGCGCCTACCTTCGGCTGCCTGCAGAACGCTGACCTCCAGCCCCTTAAACGTCTTGCTGGCGAGCTCCTCCAGCGCGCACAGCGGCGAGGTCTGCGAGAGCAGCGCGCGGCCCGCCAGGGGCAAGCCGCCCGGCGCGTGCTTGTCCGCGGCGGCCAGCAGGTGCGCCGCCCCGCACAGCGAGTAACTTCTCCGCACAGACGGCTTGTTGAGGATGTCCTCGATGCTGAACGGCGTCAGTGGCTTGTTGGAGTTGGCGGGCGGAGGCAGGTGGTCCAGCGGGCTTCGCCGCCGCTCCTCCCCCGGCGCCGCCTTGCCGTCTTCCTTGGAAGTCATCTCGGCCTTGTTCGGGGGCCCGGTCTGGGCGGCTCGGGCCGAGGGGACCCAGCCCTCGGGCAGCTCGGGCGCCGGACGGCGCGGGCGGGAGGCGGCTGGTGGGAAGGAGGCCGCACTGGGCAGGACGCGGGCCGGGCGCGGGGCAGATTAGCGCGGCAGCTGAGGCGGGCAGAACAGCGCAGGGCCCCGGGAGGAGGGTGCTGACGCGGGCGCCGCCGCTGCCCGGGCTTCCAGCAATCCGGGGCCGGAGCCGGGGCGCGCTGCGCGGGGCTCCAGTTTCGCCAGCCCCGGTGCTATTTAAAGGTGTCAGGTGGCTCGGCAGTGGCTCCTGGCCCCGGGTCCTGGCGGCCGCAGTTGGAAGAGCCGAGGCGAGGGCGCCGATCCCGGACTGCGAGGGAGGCGGAGAGACTGGGCAATTGACTATTGCTAACAAGTTAGCCTTGATCGAGGTGTAATCAATTATCTCCAGCGGCACTACTCTCTCTTTCTCCTTTCTCCCTTTCTCCTCTCTTCTTTCTCTCTGTTCTCTCCTGTTCTCTCTCCCTCCCTCCCTCTCTCTTCTCTGCTCCCCCCGTCTCTCTCCTTCTCTCCCTCTCCCTCGCCCTCTCTTTCACTCTCTGTCTGTCCAATGCAGGCGGCTCTAAGTTGGGAAGCTCATTAATTAGCGGGCCGGGGGTAGGAGGAGCCGGCTGGAATTAGCCTGCCTAATGCGCCTGTCAGTCCCGGCGCCGCGCAGCGCTCGGCCCGAGCTGTTTGTAAATTACATTAGCAGCCCCTTTATTGCACCCGAACCTCGGGCAACGGAAAAGCCACCGCCCCCACCCCAAACTGCGAGCCGCGCTCCTGGCGCACCCGCCTCCCGCCGGCCTGGCTGCAAAAACAGCACCTGCCCGGAGGTCTCGATCTCTCCGACCCGGGATATGGAGCCCGAAAGGGTGGCGGGAACCCCAGCCTGGGAGGTACACGGCAGCCGCGCGGGCCAGGTAAGAGCAGGAACTGGGGTGGGCCCCGATGCCGCCTAGAGTGGACTTTGCAGAGCTGACATCAAGAGCCCAGCGCCTCTGCCCGTGACCCTCTTGCCCCTCACCCCACTGCCTGGGCGACACGCCTGGGGAGAGGGAATCTGAAGCCCTCCTGGGCTGGCCCTCAGGAGGTCAGAGTCGGCTCGGCAGCCCTGGATGTGCGACGCGGGAAGGGGGTGGAGGACCCCAGGGGTTGGGGGAGGGGGCTAGTTGGGCAGCTCAGCCTTCTCCACGCGGAGAGGCAGAGGAGAGAATTGTTGGTGGCTCTGGGAGCCTCTCCCCCGTCCTGATTCCCGAAGCGGCTGCCCTACCTCCTCTGGCAATCTTGCACTCTTTCCACCAGCATCCGCTCCCCAGGCTGGCTGGGGCCACCGTTGGCCTGATGATGGGCGTCTGACGGGTAGCCGGGCCAGGTGCCGGAGCTAACGGGGCCGGCTCGGTTCCTCCCCGCTGCGCTCCGCCCGGGCCCCGACCGGGGCCCTGCTGCCGGCCCCGCCTAGCTCAGTGCCCGGCTAGAGTGTACGGCCAGGCCGACTCCAGCTGTTCCGGATGCGGGGCGGGGGCCAGGCCGTGGTTGGGGCTTTGCTCTCAGGAACTCGCAGGGAGGCCGGGCTTCTAGTTAGGCTGGGACTAGGGACCTTTGGGCCTGGGATCTGTGAATATCGAGAGCCTGTTGTGTGCATTGTTACTTGATGGTGTTTGTATTTTTGAATGTGTTTGTGGGTGGTATATTTGTGTAAATGCATGTGAACCCGCGGGTATATAGGTGGTTTGAACTCAGCTATTTCTTTCATTTCCCTGAGGCACTCCAGCAGGGCTGTGCCCTCAGGCCCTCCTCTCTTGCTACCCCATTCGGTTTCTGTGGGGCCACTGGCCCCCTTACGAATTTTCCGTTTCTGCCCTTGGAGAAAGGAGGGGAGGACCTAGAGGGGGTTGGGGTCCAGGGAGGAAAAGCTGTTCCCTCCCACACGCACAGCCCCCCACACAGCCCCGGCCCTGGCTTTGTTTGTAAACTCCTGGGTGGGTGGGCTGTGGGTTGGGAAGCACCGCTTGGACTAGAAAAGAGCCCAGAGAGGCCAGTGTGAGGACTTGTGACCCTCACGTTGGGACAGGGGTTGGGATGGCAAGACTAGAATTTCTTGCCCGTCACCCTTCATCTCTAACCCCAGAGAGGGAGTGAGCCAAGCAGGGCTGTGGGGCAGGAAGCAGGTTTTCTCTCTGGATGCCTCTGCAGAGCAGAGATAGGTTTCATGATCTGGCATTCACTTGTTTGTTCGGAATCATGGCTGGCAGCTCTTTGGAGTAAAAGGGACAGTGTCGGGAGAAAGGGTTCCTGTGTGGTGCCCTAGTGCCGTGAGTGTTGAGAAGAACTCCCTACCCTGGAATCCATCTTTGTCCTGTATTTTTCAGGGCGAAGGGTAAGCGAGTGGGGAGATGACGAGTCCTCAGAGGCAGGACTGGTGAGAATGGGAATCACAGTTCCTCAGAGCTGCAGACCCACCCCAGGGCAGACCTGTCTCTACTGCTTCCCTGCTGCCCTGGGAGCCACTAGGTGATGCTGACCTAGCAAACGTGGAGTCAGAGCCTGGAGACTGGCAGTCAGAGAAGGACCAGAGGGAGAGGGCACCAAGGAGCTGAACCTGGGTGGCTTGGAAGCTCTGGGGCCAAGAGGGGTCTGTCTCCTCTCACTTCCTACCCTCAGGATCCCACCTCGGCCTTTTCCTGCCATTACCCCAAACCCCTGACCCAGAGCTTCAGGCAAGTGACACCCCCAGTGCTAGCAGGGAGGCAGGGAGACCCCTTTAGATCCAGGAGCCAGGACCTTTGGATCCCAATCCAGTGAAAGAGAGAGAGAGAGAGAAAGAGAGAGAGAGAGAGAGAGAGAAAGAGAGAGAGAGAGAGAGAGAGAGAGAGAGAGAGAGAGAGAGAGGAGGGAGAGAGAGAGAGAGAGAGAGAGAGAGGAGGGAGAGAGTTCCTCCCATATTTCCACACTCTTTCTGTCCTCTTCAGTCTCTGCATTGCATCTGGTACTAGAGCCCACAGGATAAGACTTTAAGGACAAGCCAAGCCCCTGCTGTTGCCCATCTCCCAGACTCTCAAGAGCAGCAGAGTTCTGGGTTACTGAGAAGCTGACAGGAAGGGGAGGAATGTGAACTGGGGAGAAGAGGGGTCCCTCTACTTGGCTTGTTCTTTGTGTCTTATCCTGCTGGTATTGAGACCTTTAGTCTTCAGCCACACCATGTCAAAAGGAACAGGACATTTTGCAATCATCTGCTAAATTACTTCCACCACTGTCACCAGATCTTCCCTGGCTGGCCTGTACCTGCTGCCCATTCCTATGGCTTGGCTCTTTTGGCCTAATCGATTGGCCTCTTGGCTAAACACACTTGGGCACACCATATGGCTGGGGGTGTGGGGTGTAGTATGAGGTGCAGGGTGTGGGGAAGCCTGTGGGACCACCCTGCCTTTTGTTGTTTTAGTTCGATTCACCCAGATCCCCTTATCCAGGCCACCTTTGGAAACCAGCCCAACTGCCCCGCCAACCTTTTCCCAGCCCAGTGGTCCCACCCCTGCCTCCACTGCTGGAAAACCCCATAGGGGTGGGGCTGGAATCTTCTGAACTCCTGGGAGCCCAAACTTCCTTGCCTCTTGTATCCATCTTGCAGAGCAATGAAGTATATTTCAGGTTTGTGTACTGACCCCTACCTGCCTCCCCTGCCAGACCTGAGGGCAGGAACCTTCACCTGGGTACTCCGATTCATCTCGGACCTTTGAAGTCCTGGGAGACACCGGGGGCTTTCACTGAATATTGGTTGAATGACTTCCCATAGAGCAAATGGGCTATACATGATTGTGCAATGTGGAGGGGGATAGTTTGGGCCCCTCAGAGGAGTTTAGAAATTAAAAGGATTCCAGAAATGAGGAGCACAGGGTCGGTGGGGGAGAGTCTGCGCTGACAGATCAGGCTCCAATCTTTCCACTCGATCTCCCCCTGAGCCCCTGTGCCGGGGCAAGGCAGACACTCTGGGGGTCTCCCCACCTCCAGTCAGCTGGGCCAGCATCCTCTCACTTGGAGCTGAAAGTAGCTGATATTTTCCTCCACAGAGGAAATACCTGTCTTCAGAGCCTAATCTGCACGCCACCCGGATCCTGAATTCCTGTTTGCTGTTTAAACAGTCAGGGTCCAGGTTTATTCTATCTCAGTGGATACGGAAGAGATGATTCTGCCAAAAATCTGCTTGCCCTCAGTTTAGGGAATATTCCAGACAAAGAGGAGGGAAAGAGCATTTCATGAATTGCCACAATAAGGGGACCCTGCAGACCCCAACAAAACAAGTTAATCCTTAACACAGGAGAATAATTCACTTAAACCCCCAAAGGCTCCATTGGATTCAATCTGGATTGTTTTGGTAGCCCCATTCATTTCCAGATTATTTGTGTAAGCACCAGCGTTGCCTCTCAGGCCAGAGTTCCTTTAGAGAAAAGCGTCTGACAGCGCTTGAAACAAGTTAACTTGACCAGCAGTGCAGATCCTTTACTGTTGTTGTTGTTATTGTTGTTTTTGTCCCATGGTGACCTGCTACGCTGAATTCAGAGTGTTTCTTCTGCTATAGAAGTGGACTATGATAGACGGCCTCCTGCCACCCAGGCTGAGCCAGGACTGCCCACTTGGTTTTTACATTTTGCCCTGGGCCACTGTCTGCAGTAACAGCAACAATAACCATGACAATAAATACCATAAGCCCTTACCTTGTGCCTGGCTCCAGGCTAAGAGTTTATTCATTTCATTTATTACTCACAATCCTTCTAGGTAGCTACCGCTCTTACCCCAATTTTACGTAATAGGAAAATGAGGCCCAGAGAAGTTAAGTAACCCATCCAGAGTCGCACAGCCTGTTTTGGAGTAATCAAGATTGGAACACTGTTTCTTTTCCTGATTTCAGTCTGTTCCCTAAATCCCTGAACCAGGGGTTTCTTAACCAGAGTTCCCCCAAGGGCTCTTTGAATGGGCTTCAGGGGCTCTGTAAACCCCAGAAATTGTGTGTGTACCCAGAGGGTCACATTTTTCTGGGAGCAATATTACATAACACCCAGGACTCTCAAAGCGGGTGGGGATCCAGAAAAGGTAAAGGCTGGAATCAGGCCACTGGGGAAGGGGGAGGGAAGTGGCCTTCTCCCAGGCGTGGGGAGCAGGGAGGCAGCTGCTTCAAAATTCAGGCTGGGCTCCAAGCCTGCTCTTGGACCTGCCCTGCTTTCTCTGGCCACACCCAGCTCTGAGGACCTCAGTTAGCAGGAAGAGGTGGAGGCAAGGTCTGAGGGCAGGACACTCCTTTGGTCCCCTCCCTGATTCTCCCCTTACTTCTTTTGTGAGCTGAATTCCTTCAGGGCACTGTGATGTGGTGGCCATACCACAGGGGCCAGCCTCCTCCAGGCATGGCAGTCCTGCATGGAAGCAGAGGAGAGTGCTTCTCCTCTGGAAATGTTGGGGGGCATAGACAGACCACTGAGTGACAGAGACCAGCAGGGAGAAGAGACAAGTTCCCAACGAAGCTCAAGCCCATACTCTGCAGCCTCTGGAACAGCCTTCTTTTTTGGTTCGAAGCTTTTGCTCCCCTCATCCAGGGGTTGGGATGCGTTGTGTCCCTTCCTTTCCTGGCCCCTCCTAGTTTGTCTGTAATGCCCAACTCGTCTCCAGGGGGAAACCTCCTCTGCCCGGTTCAGCTCCTCTGTGCTCCTTAGCACATTCCCCTGGGTGTCAGTGTCACATTGCCAGGAATGTGCTGCTTTGTTTGTCCTGCCTCTCTCTGTCTGTTGTGAACTTGGGAAGGAAGAACCTGAATCACCTCTCCATGCCCCCATGCCAGCCCAGCCTACACCAAGGTCTCCAAGCATTTGTTGAGCAGCTAAATAAATAATCAAGGGACAAAAAGAGAGCCAGACATGGAAGTTAGCCTGTGCCTCAGAGAGAGGACAAGGGGTACAGGGGAAGGATAGGTGCGTTGGTTTGGCCAGCTGCCTGCAGATGTGTGCGGCACTCCTGCTGCTCACACCAATACACACAGAGGGGCCCAGAGACATCCTCTAATGCTTTTTGGCTACGGAGTGAGTTTCCTGAGTTGTGGACTCAGCTGCAGTGGCATGGTCTGACTTAATAATGAACTTCATTCACTTTTTGTGTGTTTGAGATGAGTCTTACTATGTCACCCAGGATGGAGCGTGCAGTGGCACAATCTGGGCTTACTGCAACCTCGGCCTCCTGGGCTCAAGTGATCCTCCCACTTTAGCCTCCCAAGTAGCTGAGACTACAGGCGTGGGCCACCATGAGTGGCTACTTTTTGTATTTTTTGTAGAGATGGGGTTTTGCAATGTTGCCCAGGCTGGATTTTTTTTTTTTTTTAAATAGGATTGAGGCCAGGCACAGTGGCTAAGCCTGTAATCCCAGCAGTTTGGGAGGCCAAGGCGAATGGATCACTTGAGGTCGGCAGCTCGAGAATAGCCTTCCTAACATGGCGAAACACCATCTCCACTAAAAATACAAAAATTAGTTGGGTGTTATGGTGTGCACCTGTAGTCCCAGCTACTCAGAGGTTGAGGCAGGAGAATCACTTGAACCCGGGAGTTTGAGGTTGCAGTAAGTCGAGATCGCACTACTATACTCTAGCCTGGGTGACAGAGTGAGATTCTGTCTAAAAATAAAAAAATAAAAATAAAGAAAGAGAGAAAGAAAGAAAGAGAGAGAGAAAGAAAGAAAGAAAAAAGAAAATAGGATTGAACCCCCATCATTCATTGCATCCAGAAGCAGAGAGGAAGAATGGACAGAAGATGGGAGGTGACGGGCAGGCAGGATGGCAGGAAACAGACACCCACCCACCACCCCAGTAGTCCAGAGGTCTATGAAGAGGATTAAGGAACCTAAGTAAGTGTGTGGGGGTGGGGTGGGGAAGAATCTGGTTCTGTTCCCAATGGAGGTGGCATTTGAGTTGAACTTTGTAAACCCAGGAGCATGTGAATAGGTGCAGAAGGAGGGACCATCCTGGAGGCAAAGGGAACTACCAAGCACAAAGCCAAAGATGCCACCCTAAGAGAGGATCCAGAGTCCCCCGTATCTCCTCCCTCTGTTGTCCTGGCGGTGCGCTGCTGGGTAAGGGTGAAACCCTTAGTCCCTTGTTTTCCCCCAGCAGGTCTGCAGCCTGGAACCCGGGGCTGCCGGGCTCCAGGGATGGCTATTTATTTATTTATGGGGTGGGGTGGGGTGGGGTGGGGTGGAGTGAGGGGTGGGAATGGGATGAGAGAGGCTGCTTTCCTGAGCCTACAATTGGGGTTTCCTTCTCCTTTTCATCCCCAGAAACTCCAAGAGCTGACCCTCTATGTTACTAACCCAGACGGCCCAGAAACGTCGCAGTCCGAGCAAAAACCATGAATGGTGGTCAGCTCCCTCCCTTTCACAGAGGTCTGTCTCACTGCTGTGGCGGGGCGCTGGGCTCAGGCCAGGCATGGGGCCTGGGCTAGGCCAGGTGGAAAGGCGGAAGGCCGAGTTGGGACAGACGAGGAGACCAAGGAGCCGCCCACCCGGTAAACGGACATAGGAAAGGCCTGAGTCAGGCTTCTCCTAATAAATGAACTGCACGTGAATAATTCAGCAGTCGCGCGGGGGCCCGTTGCATTAGCGCCGCCGCTGCGTGGCGTCCCAGACCCCGCGGAGGGGAGCAGGCCACTCCTCAAGGCCCTTGAAGAGGGAGTCGTGTAGAAGATCCCCTGCCCAACAGTATCCTGGATTCTACCCAGGTCGAATGGGAGAGCCTCCCCGTTCCCAACTCCCTCGGCCTCAGTGGATCAGGGGGCCGCCTGCTGGGCAGTCTACCCTAACTAAGCCGCTCCTGTGTCCCAAGATCTCGGGCAAGAGAAGACAGGCGGTGAGACGGAGTCAGAATAAAGAATGCGGATGTCTGACCTGCGGAAAACTCAGCATCTGCAGTGCCCAGCCGCTCAGGGAACGTGGGCAGCGTGGCTCCAAGCACAGTGAAGACGCCAGGCTCAGGCTCGGATCTGAGATCAGAGCCGGGATCCCTCGGAGGTGCCTCGTCATGGCCGGGATTTTCCTTGCCCTGAAGTGAGGCTCCAGGGAAGTTGCAGGACCCTCCGCCCTCTCTGAGCTCCCACGTACTTGAGCCTCTCCCCGTCTTTCTTGGGCCTGTGGATGCAATTCTCGCCGCACCAGACTCCCCTGTCTCCTGGAGCCCTCTAGGTACAGTCCGTAGCACCTGAAGCCTAATTTCGTTTGGGCGGAACCCAGCCCCTTTGTCTCTTCCTAATTCCCACGATCCCTGGCTTCCCGATCCTGAGGAATTGCATTCATCGCGTCCCACACCCACCAACGCTCAATCCCTCCAGTTTCACCCCAGCCCCTTTCACTTCCATTAATTAGGCCACCAGCCCTCCCCCCACCCATCTTCCTCCTCCTCCTCTTTCTCCTTTCCGCTTCCCTCCGCCTCTATGTATTTCTTTCTCATTCGTTTCTTTTCAAAGTTTGGTGAGGTGCCACCCACCGCAGCCCTGTCCCCTAGGGAGGCCTGGACTAACTCTGCCACCCTCGTGGCCTTAGCCCGGACTGAGTCTCGAGGGGTTTCTGGAAGGCGGCAGCCAGGGCAGCTCGGGTGTCTTCTACAGAGACGGGTGAGGGGGGCTGGCGATTCCCCGGCCTCAGATGGCTCTGCCACCGGCTGGCTGTGTGGTCCTGGGTAAGTCTTTCCACCTCTCTAAGCCTTGACGGTGGTAAAAGGCAGGAGATTTAGAGAAGGTGTTGGGAGACTAAACCTTTTCATTCGTTTGAGAAAGGGAGTCGCCTGTGTTGCGGCCTAAGGAGGAAGTGAGTTTCTCGAGAATTCTAGATCTGAAATAGCCATTTGTTTTAACGAATATTTTGGGAGCAGCTGATAGCTGCTTTTTATTTTTCTTTTTTATAGCCGATGGGGTGCCGGGCGTTAGAACCCTTCCCTCCAATCCTCACCATGTCTCCATTTTGCCAAAGAAGAAACTGAGGTTAAGGTCGCGATGCCCTGGCCAGCACCAAAGGTGGGATTTGAACACAGATCGCGTTTGGAGCGGCTCTAGTGTTTAAGCCACATAGTATGACATTGGACGGGTGAATTGAGCCCTCGCAGGGCCTGGAGTGACCTAAGGCGAAAGGAGTTGGGCTGAATCTCCAGGTGTTCCTTTCTTTCTGCCCTAAGAAAGCTTTGGAATTCTTATTTTTAGGTAAACGATTTTGGCAGTGCCCGGAGAAGGATAGAAGTAAGACCCAAGGAGGAACTTCCTGCATGCTACGGGAGACCCCCTGGGGCGAGGAGGCGCGGGCAGCCTTCCCCCGGCCAAGGGAGCAGCCATCGATCTCGGATCTATTTTTCCTCAAGAGTCTGTCCTGTGGGGCCCGGGGCCCAGTCCCCAGCCGCAATCTTGGACCCAGCGGGAGAAGGGGCTCGGGGAGGAGGGCGCATCCCCAAACCCAGGACCGACGGCAGCCCTAGCCAGTCCCGCTCTCTCCCTCTCCAGGGGCCTCTCTGTGAGGTCGAGTCCTCCTAGCTGCAGAGGGTAGGGAGCTGGCTATAGGGCAGCAGAGTGGAAGCCAGGGCCTGGGACCCTCTGGTTGGGTAAGGAGGGGCTGGAGTCCGGCTCCCAGTGACCCAGTTCCCAGTCCCAGCCGTGGGGTCGCAGGTGGTGGCCCAGACAGGCCACGGGTCCCTTGCCACAAGTCCCATTAGTTGTATTTATGTTTCACTTTATTGTTTTTTTTTCCTCCTCCCTTATTATTGTCTCACTCTGGAGGAGGCAAAGGATATAATATATTCATCTTTATTATACCAAATCTGTGTGAAGCATTTAATAAAACGCTGTTTCCCCACAGCCAGGGATATTAGCGTGAGCTATTCTTAACTTAATGCTCCTGGACGGAGGGCGCCGTTGCCACAGCGCCTGCTGCCGGCGGGTCTCGGGAAGCGCAGGCCCTGGCCGCCGAGCTGCCCGCGCAGGTCCAGCGCTCCGGTGGCCTTCTGGCCTGCTCGTCGAAGCCCCCGTGCCCATTCTACCGCGTCTGTCTGTGACCCCTCGGCCTCCAGCCTGGGAGGAGGGGCTCGGAAGAGCCGAATTCAAGCACCACCCTTCCTCCCCCCTGCCAGCCTGGCTGCTTTTCGAACCTACTGTGGGCCTTGGTTTGTATCTATGAAAATGGGAAGAATTCCATCACTGCCTCCCTCTCAGGGCTTTCGGGAGGCCAAAGACGCCCTGAGGGTTGACAGGATTTTTTTAAAAAGGAAAGAAAAAAATGGAGACTTTGTAAGGTCAGGATCAATGAGGGCCAGAGAGAAGCAGAGAGGCTGCAGAGGTGGCTTCAGGCAACACAGATCAAGCTGGACCCCAGGAGAGCAGGCAGGGTGCAGCTGTAATGTGGGCAGAGCCCAGGAGGTCTCGGCATGCCTGGGCGTCACCACCCCCCCCCCCCCCCACGAAAACAGCTGATCCTAGTCAGGAGCGATCTCGGCCTGTTGGTCCTCACATAATCCTCCCTCCAGGTAGGAAAATAGTGTTTGTTTTGTTTTGTGTTGTGTTGTTTTTTTGAGACAGAGTCTTGCTCTGTGGCCCACACTAGAGTGCGGTGGGGCGATCTTGCAATCTTGGCTCACTGCAGCCTCTGCCTCCCGAGTTCCCAGGTTCCAGCGATTCTCCTGCCTCAGCCTCCTGGGTAGCTGGGATTACAGGTGCACACCACATGCCTGGCTAATTTTTCTATTTTTTAGTAGAGATGGAAGTTTCACCATGTTGGTCAGGCTGGTCTTGAACTCCTGACCACAAGTGAACCGCCCACCTTGGCCTCCCAAAGTGCTGGAATCACAGGTGTGAGCCACCATGCCCAACGGAAAATAGTCTTTTTAACTCCAGTTTTACAGCTAGCAAACAGGCTCACAAAGATCACGTGGCTTGAGATGACCAAACTAGGATGTAGTATAGCAGGTCACCAGACTCCATGACCCTCCCAGCCCCCATTCTCCAGAGTTTTTCTGTAAACCTTACATTCTGCCCTCTGTGTGCGCGTGTGCACACACACACGCACACATACACACACACCCCTACCTGGAGATGACCATGGGAAGGAGAAACAGCCTCATGACTTTCTATATCCAGGCCCACTGCTCAATGTCCTTCAGAGCCTACCACCTGGCTTCTTATAGGGCTCAGATCTGGGCACACCAGTCTTACTTAGGCTGCTTGTACCAGTGCTATAGGAGAGAGGGAGCTGGCAGTAACCAGGCCAAGCCAGGCAGAAAGGATTGTGCAGGAGAGGCTTGAAGTGGGCAGGTGGGTCTCCCTGGCTAGAATTCATGCCCTCCCGGAAATCTCAGTCTTCCCCCGTCCCGTCCCCATCACTCCATCCATGGAAGTGGGCGCTGCACCAGGTCAACTTACATCCTGTAGACTGCTGGTCAGAGCTCCTTTGGAGACTTAAGTTACTTGAGAAATCTGACAGTTCCCCCCGAGGCTGGCTGAGGAGGAGGCACAGACTATGTGGCAGGGCTAGGACTAGGGTGAGGCAGATGAGGTGCCATATTTAAGGAGGGCATCTGCTCTCAGCACTGTGTGTGATCTCTTAGGTTTTGTGTCTTGGGCATCTCACTGGCCTTACCCTAGTCCCGGCTCTGCTGTGTGGTCTGGGAGGTAGAATCAAGGCCAGTGAATTGCTGAGAGGGAACAGGGAGGCTGATTTCAGCTCATCCTTGAGAATGACTTTCTGAAGCATCAAAATGGAAACAATGGAATGAGCTTCCCCCAACACATGGAGTATGCAAGCAGGGCTCAGCGCCTGCTAAGAAGAAGAATAATCACCATATTATTGTCACCACCAACACTGTCACCATTGACCATCCCTTTGTGTCAAGCAAAAGCTTTAGTCAATGTGGTTTCATTTAATGTACATAAATGTATTTTTGCTGAAGATGGGCTATCAGAGTCTCTGAACGTTGGTGTCCTTACCAGCTCCAAGTGTCTACTGTTGCATAAGACAAAGAGTACTTCTGTTGATTTTGGTTGGTTCAATGCATTGTTGTTAGTATTTGTGGACTTACAGTCTTATACTAATGGACAAGCTCCTAGAGGGCAGAGACTGTGTCTAATCTCATTTTTTTTTTTTTTTTTTTTTTTTTTTTTTGAGACGGAGTTTCGCTCTTGTTACCCAGGCTGGAGTGCAATGGCGCGATCTCGGCTCACCGCAACCTCCGCCTCCTGGGCTCAGGCAATTCTCCTGCCTCAGCCTCCTGAGTAGCTGGGATTACAGGCACGCGCCACCATGCCCAGCTAATTTTTTTGCACCTTTAGTAGAGACAGGGTTTCACCATGTTGACCAGGATGGTCTCGATCTCTCGACCTCGTGATCCACCCGCCTCGGCCTCCCAAAGTGCTGGGATTACAGGCTTGAGCCACCGCGCCCGGCCCCTAATCTCATTTTTTCAAATGATTCCCCTCTCCTGTTCCATGCTGACCAGAGGCCTGGGCACAAAGAATAGAAGGTGTTCAATAAATGTGTATCAAACAAACACATGAGTAAACCAATGTCTAAAAGCTATCGGCTTACCTGGCCATTTGCTTTCCGGGCTGTGACTGACAGAGCCACTAGGGGAGCCAGAACCACCTCTGCGATCATCCCCCTTTGTATGGCTGAGCTGAGTTCAAGTAGGCACGTCTAGAGCCTCCCCTGACATCATGTGCCTGGCCCTTTGCTAGTTTGTGGATAAGATGAGGGCCAGTCCAGGTTCTTCGCAGAAGGATCTCAAGACTCATACTGGACAAACCTCATGAGAAACCATTCAGATGGTGAGGGAAGCCTCTGGAGATCAGAGCAGGGAAGGGCCCTGCAGCCAGTGAAGCCTGTCTGGCAGAGCTAAGACTACAGCTAGTCCTTGCAATGAGAGAAGAATTGAGTGGCTGAAGGGAAGAAATTGACCATCCTAGCTGGGTGCGGTGACTCACCTATAATCCTAGCACTTTGGGAGGCCAAGATTTACTTAAGGCCAGGAGTTTGAGACCAGTCTGGCCAACATGGTGAAACCCCGCCTCTTCTAAAAATACAAAAATTAGCCGTATGTGATGGCACATGCCTGTAATCCCAACTTCTTGGGAGGCTGAGGCAGGAGAATCACTTGAACCCGGGAGGCGGAGGTTGCAGTGAGCTGAGACTGCGTCACTGCACTCCAGCCTAGGTGATAGAGTGAGACTCCATCAAAAAAGAAATAGACCATTCTAGGTTGGAGTGATGGGGAGCAAGAGCAAAGGGACAGAGGCAGGAATGCCCACAATCATTTTGGGGAAAACGCAGCCTAGCCTGGCTAGAGTACCAGAGGAAGACAAATGGGAAAGACATTGGTAGAATGCCTTGAATGTCCAGGCCCAGAGCCAGAGAACAGAAAATAGGGTTTGGAAATCAGAATCCGTATCCTAGAGCCCAGAAACCAGAGCCTAGAACTCAGGAAGCAAGGGCAAAGTTCAGGACCCCGTCTTGTCTAGGGCTGTCCCGTTAGCTGCTGTAACAGGATGCCTTGGGGACTCCAAACTCAAGGTGCACGACCTTATTGGGAAACAGTGGATTTTTCTAATTGGCTTAGTCCAGGAAACCAAAGGCCTGACTCAAGCACAGGACCAACTTGGGTCTACCTGAGACTTGCCCCCCAGGACTGGCATGAGCAGCTGTCTTGGGTCCCTCCAAATCACAGGCTGAAGTCTGGCATTATCTGCAGCCCAGCAGGCACCCTGAGCTGGGGCAGGTGTCGCCACCAATATATACCTTCACACCCTTCGAGCCTCCCTTCTGTTCTCTGATACAGGTGGGATCTGAGATTTTAGGCTAGACCCAGCTGGGGCAGGCCACTAGAGGGTGGAGCCATGGTGCCTGCAGCAGTGCCAAATGAGCCAGCATGTAGGCGTTGCTGTGCCGGCCCGTCGTGGGGCGCAAGCCTGCCAAGGAGCCGGAGTGCTGTGCCGCGTGGAGGGTGTCAGGGGTGGTATTGTCAGCGCACAAATGCTCAACTTTATGTACTTTTAACTAGAGGTGTAACAGATGGCCCCGTTTCTGTCCAAGCCAGGGAGACTGGTGCCCATTCCGGCTGCAGCCAATCAATCCCGCCACTCTGGGGGGAGCTGCAAGCTGGGCTGGGAGGCCT